GAGGAGAGGAGGGGAGAGGAGTGGAGGGGAGAGGAGAGGAAAGAAAAGGAAAGGAGGCCCATAGAGGAAAAGGAGCCGTGAGACACACTGGTGGCAGAGGGGCCAGGGTCAGACATCCTGCCTCCCCTTGGAACCTTCCATGGGGCTGCCCACGTCACACCCAGTCCTGGGACCACAGGCAGCCCCGACTGGACTTTCATTTCCACTCCATCTGGGACACGGAAGCTGACCCTAGTCCTTGGGAGTTTACACCTGATCCACAGGACAGCTCTGGGGACAGAGGCAGCAGTCACCCTGGGAAGGTGGTGTGGGGAGGCAGAAGGGAGGAGGTCCTAGACACAGGCTCCAGGAGCCCTCAAGCCTCCAGACAGTCCCTGGACTCTGTTTTTCCTTTCCCAGCCCAAACCTATTTCCTGACAGTGGGGGTGGGGGTGGTACAGACAACAGTTGTAAGACTTTCCACTTCACTGCACCTCACCTTTTGTTTTTTGTCTTTCTTTCTTTCCTTTTTTCTTTCTTTCTTTCTTTCTTTTTTTTTTTTTTTTTTGAGATAGGTTCTTGCTGTGTAGTCCATGCTGCTTCAAACTCACAGTGATCCTCCTGTCTCAGCCTCCCGAGTGCCGGGATTACAGGCATGCGCCTCATGCCCAATCATGGACCATCTCACCATGCACTGAGACCCCACTCAGCTGGGCTGGTCTGAGGGTGGGGAGGAGAAGAGTGGGCCATCCTATCTAAAGGGGTGCAGATGCCACCTGCCCCGCTGCTAAGCCATACCTCTGCCAGCTGGCGTCTCTCCCGTCCCGCTCACAAGGGACAAAGTCTCCTTGAGGTCTCCTGCTGGGGAGTTCCAGGTCAGCTCTAGAAGAAGAGAGAAAGGCAGAGGTCTGAGGCCCCTGTGGATAGGCGTGGCCCCCGATCCTGGGTCCCCCCACCCCATCTCTGCAAACAGAAATCAGACGCAGCTGGACAGCCAGCACCAAGGTGCCAGCGCCTGGGACAGGCCGGGATGTCTTTTCTGGTCCCCGCAGTGAGCCCAGCCCATACAGCAGCACCCCGCGATGCCACCGCACATGCTAATGAGACGGTCCAGCACCGGCTCTTCTGCTTCTAGCTAGAATGCAATCAGCTCAGTGGTGGTGGTGGCGGCGGCAGCGTGCGAACGCCAGTCTCTGCAGGCTGAAGAAAGGCCCCCAGCAACTGTGAAATGGAAAGGGACTTAATCACTGCCTAATGAATGCAGGCCCTTTGGGCAGGGCGACTGTAAGATCTGTGCACAAAGTCCTCTGGGGCTGAGGACAACACAGGCCCCGAGTCACATGAGAAGGGTCAGGGTCACCTCATCCGACACCACACCCCCCAGCGGAGGCTTGAGCCCATCCTACGCAGGGCCTGGCCACTTCACGCACAGCTGAGAGAGAAGCAAGCAAGGTGGACAGAGGAGGGCACGGAGGTCCCCAACTCTACCCTAGTGACAAGGCAAAGCAGAAGGGGCCTCCATCAGTTCCCACTGCCTCAGGCGGTAACGGTGACAGTCCCATGAGCAAGCGAACTCAGGTGGCAGAAACGCCCTCAAGGCCACAATGCTGAAAGGGGCCAGGGCCAGGACTGGAACTCCGGCCACTGATGCAGCAGGAGAGGCTGACTTCAAGGTCTCTAGGTACTGGTGACCGCATACACAGATCTTCCCCATCTGGCACATCGATGGTCAGTGCTAACGTGGTGTCCCTGAGCGTGAGAACGCACGGATCTTCCCGAGTCTTTCCTGGCTGCACAGCAGCCTGTGAGCCAAGCCTGCGTCCCATTGGAGCATTTCTGCTTTGTGTGACTGCCGCCACCATCAGCACATCTGTCCACATCTGCACATCTGCCTTTGGAAAGACACTGGCAGCCCCTCTTCCCCAAATGCATCAAGGCCTGGGACAGAAGGAGGCGTATGTCTGAGCTCCAGATTTGAACTCAGGGCTCTGGCAGGCATTTGCTCTGTGGCTGGGGCAGATGTGCCAGCTCCGGCACCTCGGGCCTGCATTCACTGGCTCAGAAGTGATAATGAGCTTTCATGAGCTCCAGGGAGCACACAGAACGCGTATTAATGTCAAGCATGCCCGTGTCAGCCTGGGTGAATGTCACACATTAAGGAAATTAAAGGCTGCAGCCACACCGGGCAGGAAGATGGGCAGGCTCTGTCGCTAACAAAATTACTTTCCAGCTCTGGCACTTGGAGCCTCGAGCTCTCTCTGGGCTTGGAGGGAATTCTGCCCTCCTGCAGTGTGCAGGAGGATCCGTTTAGGGAGAGACTGATCCTGCACTAATCCCAATTTCCATTAAGCTAATCTGCATTGTGCAGGGGAATGGCTGGGCTTGGGACTTCTCCATGTATCTCTGAGACCGCAACCTAGGTCCTGCTGCCCCTAAAGGAAGGCGGCGGCTGCAGATGTTTTCTAGCCAGAGAAAAGAATCCAGGATCTAGAGCCCAGAGAAGAGACAGGTGCAGGGCGGCAGGGGGCAGAGTACACACAGTGAGGTGTCAGCAACGCGCAGCCCCTGACCTGACTGTCCTAACTGAACAGCTGAGGGCAGGAGCCACCCTCCCGGGTCTCTACAGCACCCCCCACCCTCCTAAGGCTTGAGCTGGTGCAGGCTGAAATCCTAAATCCCACCCTGTGTGCCCCATAGCCTCTGTGAATGGAACAAGGGACCTTCCAACTCTGAAAAGGAGGCCACCAATGCTGGTAGCTCCTGGGATGAAGAAGGTCACTGTGGAACACCCACGGAAGCAGTAAGAGCCTGGATGCGGTACCAGGGCACCCAGGCCGGACTCTCCTCGGACGACAAGCACACATCGAACCCCGACAACTCACTGCATTAATGGTGATGCCACCCCTGCGTGGTGTGAAGCTGCCGAGAACAGCTAGATCCGCTGTTCTGCAGGTGGCCTCGGGTGCGCTGGCCTCCTCCCTCCTCTTGTCTTCTAAACTAACAGCTGGCTGATCACTCGATTTCTAACAAAAATTCAGGGGCTACTCTGGTGTCCTGGATGCCCAGGTGCGACTCTTCAACATTGGTGCTGATGTCTCCAACTCTACTTTTAGGTTTTTAATTAAAATGAAGTGCAAGAGTGCGCACACAGACACACATCACACACACACTCACACGTATGTGTGAGACACCACACACACCTGCCTGCTGCTTCACCGCAGCAGAGCAGCCCTGGGAAACAGACGCCACACCTTGCCTCTCCATTCTCTTCTGGCTCCTTCCCCATCCCACCTGCCCGATGGCCCCCTGTTCAGCCTCAGCACTGCCCCGCCAGTCTGCGGCCTGCTGCCTCTGCTGTCACCGCTCCACAGGCTGCCTGGCCCCACTCAGCATGAGCACGGACACTTCATTACCTGGCCCTCCACAATGCTCCAGGCCCGATTGGGGCCTCCAGCTGTGCAGACCCCACCAGCCAAGTGAACTCTCCTGGCCTCATACCCCACCAGCATGCTCAGCCCAGCCTCACAGACCTGTGCTCTGCCTGGAATTCTTTTCTCCCTTTTTAACACTGAGCTTCACACTGGGCAAACTCCTCCTCATCCTTCAAAATCTTCCTTCAGACAGCTGGGTAGGGTGAGGCATGCCTATAATCCCACCACTTGGGAGGTGGAGGAAGGAGTATATCACTTTGAGTTGGAGGCCCACCCAAGCTAAATACTGAGTTCAAGGCCAGCCTAGACTACATGGCAAGACCCTGTCTCCAAAAAACACCTTCAATCATTCCTTCTGAAAAGCCATCCCAGTCGCGCAACAGGTATATAAAGCATTGTCCACTGGGCTCCTCTGCAATTTGTACAGTGCTGTATTTTTTGTTAAAGTAATGTGCTGCACCTGCAAACTATGAGTCACTCAACAATAGAAATAGTGTTCTCCTCCCTCTGCGGGCCTCAGACCGTGGTTCAGACAGTAATAGCTGCACAGATGGTAGCTGCTTGGAAGGTGGGCAGCAATAGGGCATAAAATGAATCTATGGGAGAACCTGAGTGATAGAAAGAAAGAACTAGGGGATGGATGGATGGATGGATGGATGGATGGATGGATGGATGGAAGGATGATGGGCGGGTAGATGGATGGGTGATGGAGAAAGGGAAGGTGAGAAGACTGATGGGCGGGCAGATGGATAGATGGACAGATGGATGGACAGAATGGATGCATAATGGGGGGAAGGAAAGGTGGAGGGATGGACGGCAGATGAATGGAGATGGGTGAAGGTTGGATGGAAGGATGGATGGATGGATGCATGGATCAAAGAATGATGAATGGGTGGATGAACAGATGAACGGATGGATGGAAGATGGATAAGACGGATGGGTGATGGCTGGCTGGATGAATGATGGGGGAGGGACAAATGAGTGGATGAATGGATGATGGAAAGTAGGACAACGGAGGGCAAGTAGGTCTACAAAAGAATCAGTTAAATTTGAACGATGAGGCAGAGCGAGGCCAGTGGAGACCAAGAAGGAACGATGATTCTCAACTGCTTGCACAGTGCTTACTAGACCCTGCCAGACAGAGGCTCATGGCTATGAAGAGCCTTGCTCTCATCCTGCAGTGGAGGCCACGTGTTCTGAGCAGTGGCTCAGCCTGCAGCTCGTCCTGTCTCAACACCCACTCTATCATCTGTGGATCACCGAGTCCTTCAGAAGGGAGGGGTGAGGGCTACCCTTGGCCTTGGCTGAGGCAGAGGTCAAGAATCTGACGTGTGGTGAGGATTCCAAAGTTGTCATGGGCCTGAGTCATGACCTGGTCAGTGGGGCAGTGGGCTTGCCAGCTGTACACAGCCAGCCAGCTACTACTGGTCAGGCATGGGATAGGTTCCAGGAAAAGGGACAGCTGCTGATGAAAGCCCCATGCAAATATGGCCTTGCCATGGGAGTGGTGACATGAACATGGGTAATGAGCCAGGATGCTCAAGCAGTGTAGCATCACTTTGACAGTACTTGAGGCTGAGCTGGTATAGAAACTATCTCCCAGTGTGGCTGCTGCCCTCTGTAATGTGGTAGAGAGCTGGACACAGAATGGATCTATAAAAGAACCTGAATGGAGGGAAGGAGGAAGGAGGTTACAGCTGGCTGCAGGGATGGATAGAAGGATGGCTAAGTGGATGAATGGAAGGATGGCTAGATGGCTGGCTGGATAAGTGACTGGATGCATGGATGGATGGATGGATGGATGGATGGATGGATGGATGGATGGATGACTGGACAGGTGACTTCATAGATGAATGGATGGATGGATGGATGGATGACTGGATGGATGGATGACTGGATGGATGGATGGATGGACGGACGGACGGACGGACGGACGGACGGACGGACGGACGGACGGACGGATAGGTGGGTAGGTGAGTGACTGGATGGATGGATGGATGGGTGGATGGATAGATGGATGGATAACTGGATAGATGGGTAACTGGATAGAAGGATGGATGGTTGGGTAGACAGATGTGCAGTAAAGCACTGTGGGTAAGAGACCAGGTTTTCATTTCCTACAGAACATGAGAAAGAAAGTTTCTTAACCTATAAACTTCAGGACAGTCACCAGTTAAGTGTAAATGTGGAAATCGACTGCAAGTGATTCCTGTGGTACTCAGGACTCAAAAGCACTTGATACACAGTGAAAACAAAACCTTGGAAGATTATCTGTGCTACTTCATATCAAAGGGTAGTGGCCAAGGAAGATTTGACAAGCAAAAAAACGAACAATGGAATGGATCACTTTCACAGAAGGGGGGAAGCGTGATCACCTTGATTCATGCAGGAAAGGCATCTGAAGAAAGTCAAAGGTCAACAGAATAAAAGCTGTAAGTGTACACACACAGC